GGCTGCCCAGGGAAGTGGTGGAGTCCCCATCCCTGGAGGTATTTAAAAGCCATGTAGATGTGGTGCTTAGGGCCATGGTTTAGTGGTGGGCGTGGCAGTGGTGGGTTAACGGTTGGACTTGATGATCTTAAGGGTCTTTTCCAACCTAAACGATTCTATGATTCTGTGATGAAGGAGGTTAGTTCATTGTTTTTTGTTTAAACCACCTGTACACAAGTAGTGATTATTTAGTGAGTTTGCTGATTAAAGGCGACTGTCGAAGCTTAGGATCAACCAAGTAAACATATGTGGGAATTGGATAAAAACTCATGATGTGCCTTAGTGAATGTATTTAAAAGCATCCCTTTTTTTCCAAGTAAAGATGAAATTTAAGATAACTGCTATAACCTCTGGAAAGTCTGGCTTCAGAAATACTTGAGGAGTATTTCTTTTTCTCAGAACTTCTTACGCAGTTGCTATAAACCCAGTTTTCATCCTTTGCTCAGTCTTCTGTATTTTGTGTAATCAGCCTTGAAGCAGCTTTAAGGTAAACTGTCTTGCTCCTGTAAGGCAGTGTTTAGTGTAGTGAAATTAAATCACATTTTTATCCTGAAGCTGAAGTAATACAGGTTAAAATTTTACAATGAACATTAAAAAAGTGTTTGTCTAAGCTTTGGAAGATCAATGAGAGAATTGCATTAACTCATTTGAAATGGGGGAGGAAGAAGCAGGGTTGTGTGGTGATATTACTGTGCTTTCTAGAAGTACGGCTCAGGGAACAGAGGTGTAAATTTTGTGAATATGCTTCCTGGGCTGAAGTGTTACAAATGATCTGAGTCTCAAGGTGAGTTTACTGATCATCAGTCCTGTCCTTGAGAGTGTCCAGAGACTCAGCAGGCCCTGTGAGATGCAGCAAGAACTGAATATCAATATGATGACGAGGTTGATGACCAAAAAAATAGTAATTCCTTTATTTACATGTAAGTATTGGATTTTAACAGTCTGGTTATTTGTTCTGCTTTAAGACTTGGTTTCTGTGGATTTTCATCAGATTTTAACAGTCTGGTTATTTGTTCTGTTTTAAGGCTTGGTTTCTGTGGATTTTGGGGATGGTTTTGGGTTGTTGTTTGTTTGTTTGTTTTTGATTCAAGATTCTAAAGTGTATTTAAAATAGAGCAAAGTTACTTTTGTCAAAGAGTAAAATTTTCACAAAAGATCTCCTCCATGTGTTTTGTTGTTGCTTTCCCTCTTCTTACAGAATGGGTACAGATGGCACCAGCTTTATTTTCTAAATTCATCCCAAATATTCTGCCCCCTGCTGTGGAATCTGAGCTTCAGGAATATGCTGCTCAAGACCAGAAGCTTCAGAGAGAGCTTATGCAGAATGGATTTACTAGGTAATAATTATTAGTCTTCAGCAGTAATTGTGCTGGACAGTGCTGAAATGGTAAAAATGGATACACCTAAAAATACTGAAGAAATAATTTAAGAGTTAATAAATAACCTTCATAACTCAGTATCTGAAATACAGCCTTATTTTCCACACGTTTTGAGCACTACTAACCCTGCAGATGGTACCAAAAAGTAGATGATCGGAAGTCTTGAAATATTTTTGTGAACAGACTGCTTACAGTTCATGCATCCCTGTGTTTTGATTGTGCTTCTAATGCGTGATCATGTTCTTGTTCAGCCTTTACTTCGGCCGTTTATTTTCTATAAGCTGACTTTTTTTTCGTGATCCTTCTGAAAATGTCAGTTGATGACTTCTCCTTATTCCACTTTCAGAGCTATTTATAGAGTCAAGGTGTTTGTTTTAAATAGGCATTTCTCTTCGGAGTACTGAATTGGGGGGGGGGGAAAGAAGAAACAGTACGAGACAGCAGGCATGTTCATAACCTACGTTGTTCACTCCGGCCAGTGCCTGTTGCTCTATGCTCTTCTATTTAACTGCCTAGGCAGCGCTTTCGCCACAGGAGTGTACCACTTCTGCAGTAGTCTGACAATCCAAGATCAGACTGGGGAAGCTATCGTGCTCTGTTCCCGAGAGGTTTGTTTCTGCATGAAGAGAGTATATCTTCATCTTTCCTGTTACCTGTGCAACACGGAGAATCTGGTCCTGTAGTTTGAACACCCACTAGATGTGGGTATGTTTAGTGTTAGATGTACTCCTGGATTTCATACTCTTGTGTAGTTTTCCTCAAAGGTAATCTCTCTCTTCAAAGCTTGGTAAATTATTGAGCTTCAAAACTCTGCTACTGACCCAAATGCAAATGGTGTTGTAGACTCACTCCTTATAAGGCTTTCTGTTGAGGAAAATAATTTTTTTGATAGATAAGCGTGAGCTAAGACACTAAAAAGAAAGCTGTAAGAGCTTAGGCTGAGAAAAGCAGTGCATTTGGCCCAAGAAATAGAAGTTTGAAACTGTTTGAAACTGATTAGGCATATAATGCGGACAGTAGAACAAAATAGACTATTTCAGTTGGAAGGGACCTACAACAATCATATAGTCCAGCTGCCTGACAAATTCAGGGCTGACCAAGTTAAAGCATGTTATTAAGGGCATTGTCCAAATGCCTCTTAAACACTGGCAGCCTTGGGGCATCGACCACCTCTCTAGGAAGCCTGTGCCAGTGTTTCACCCCCCTCTCAGTAAAGAAATGCTTCCGAATCTCCAAAAGAAAGTAATGCACGGAACAAAACAAAAAAAGGAGTGTTTTACTTTTGTTTAATTTTCAATCTTAATTCTGTAGGTGGCTTAAAATAGTTCGGCTCACAACTGCATTTAACTGGTTTCACACTTCATAGAGAATTAAAAATGAAGTTGCAAGTAGTAACAGTCCATATCCACAAAAACAATTGGTTTCAAAAACATTTTTCCCTAGGTACCTGAAGATAAGGCAGGCTTGTCAGCTTGGCTGTAGAGTTCTTTGGCTGGTACTGTGAGGAGGACACTGTATAAAAGGCTAGGAAGGGTAGTAGGAAGGATACTGACCATTGCAAAGGCTAGATGCCTCTGTGGTGTTCTCTTCTTAGAGACTTGGGATCCTCAGAATATATTTTAACAACTCCTGTTTTATGCAGAAAAGTAATTCTCTAGCACTGGAACTAATGCAAATCCATAGGAAACTGTTTCTGTCCTGTGTGATGGGTGGGGACAAAGAAGAGATTAGGGCTTGAGGATAGTCATACAGGGGAGAACTAAGTAAAAGTTTGTGTCACATATTCTTTGCAGAGTCTAATTTCCAGGAGTTCCTCTCCTTTTTGGCTTTCTGCAGTATGTGATCTGGGTATTGGACATGTGAAGAGTTTTGGTATGTCTTGTAGATTTAGAAAACTGGCCCACCCTAGCCTATGGTTTATTGCAACTGCTGTTTCTATGTAGCTTGCTTTCAATTTATTACATAAAAATGCAAAATAAAACTTTGCAGTGGAGTAACTGATTGATGGCATTTAGTCTCTGATAAATGTGTTTTACAGAATATATTTTTTTTATGGTTGTACTGCCAGGGAGTCAGTGCAGTCTGATACACACGGAGGTTATATAAAGTGTTAGAGCAGAGTCTGTCATCATTAAAAGGACACAGGTAAAAGAAAACTGAAGTACAGGTGATATAATTTGCTACATGGCATTTTGCAGTGGTATTTGAAGTGCATTTTGCCTTGAAATGTATTTCAAGATGTAATATGCTGCTTCTGATGTTCAGGAACATAGGTTGTGTTTATTTATAACCTTTCGGAATTGTTTTGAGGCTATATTCCTACATATATAAACGTATATGTATATATGTATAAAAGGGTTGTTTTTCTCTTTTACCAAAGAGTGTGCCAAGTTTGTTCTTTTCTGGGTTAGCATGAAGTGTCACCTGTTCTCCTATAATGGCGCCAAAAATGGTGATGTCTTTGCTGCGCTTCCTACAACAATAACCATGAGGAACACAGCACAGTGAGGTGTCTTCATCAGCATTAATGGCATGTCAGGTTCGAGGTGAAATAGCTTATCGACACTATTAAATACTGTTGCTGCAGAAAGTGGGAACACAAGCCAGTTGCTTGGCAGTATGTCTCTTGTGAAAGACCTTAATCAAGGCATACACAGCAGGTCCATCACCTTAAGAGTGGTTTCAGGGAAGAATACTTCGTATTATTAGAAAAAAACCCAATTTCTACCAACTTCCAGCACATGAATGTGAAATTATAACAATCGTGGTGAAAATATATTGGAATCTCTTCCTTATATAACAGTTTCAATAGCATATCTATCATCACAAGATGCTTGTGAAGCAGCAAGATTTTCCAGCTTTAAGAATTTGTGTGCACAAGAATAAAAGGAAAAAATGTTTTCCAAATAGATGGGAATTTGACTTTGGGTTTTCAGGAGCAATGATGTCAACTGGTGTTTATATAACTTTAGTTAGTTATTTAAATCTTTGCTTGAAGAGGGAGTGCTGTCAGCACAGACTTGCTTAGAGTCTGACTGTTGGGTTTTCAGGAGTGTCTTATCTTTTCAGACTGATAGATGCAGAGCTTTTCATATAGTTCTATAAAGTTTTTTTGTGAGGTTTGAATTAAGGAAAACAATTTTATGCATGCCTTAAGACCACACTGCGTTGCAGCAATTTTTCCTCATCTTCATTTTGTAAAAAAATCATCCTATAAAATTGAACCTACCATCTTCAACAAAATGATGAGCTAATTAAATCTATAAAATATAGCTTATGCTTCTGCTTTAGTAAATTGAGAATCCTGCAGTTGTGTGTTATTGCTACTATGTTTTCATTTTGTTTCTAAAGTCTGTAAAAGCTGATGATTGTGCTGAGGTATTTCACTATTGTTTTCCTTTTCTTAAAATGAAAATACCTTTCTTCCCCTTCTTTCCTAGAGGTGACCAGTCACGCAAGAGAGCTGGAGAAGAGTTAACTTACAGTAAGTATGCATCTAACCCTGCCCTCCAGTGTGCCACAGTCCCTGACGGGTTGGGCATACAGGTAGCGGTGGGCTTCTGGGTTCTCAGCGGGGTGGTGAGGTGTCGGAGGCTGCACCTCCACATCGTAGCTAGCTGTCTGCCAGTGTAACCTTTACTATTCTAAGGAATGATACAAACTTTTTGGGTCTAGAGCCTGGCTAACTGTGCTAGAGTCCCACAGCCACCTGTAAGGTAGTAAGATGTCCTAGCTACTGAGGCCAAGCTACTTCCACTTCATTTAAGTACACAGCTGTGGTCTTAAGGAAGAAGAATGTAGTTGTCCCAAGTCTCTGCCTGGTCAGGATACACATAGCAGGCAATGAAATGATGAGACAGTCCACCTCTGATATAAATCACCCGCTGGTGATGCGTGTTTCTGTCTGTTGACAGAAAAGAAGGTTTGGAAGGGTCGTGCTTTTCAACTTGAAAGCCTCAATTACGTGTCTAATACAACATGGGATCCACCTGTGTTGAGATACTAAAGGCAGTATTTGGGAAGTTCTCTTCCATTTGTAGATGAAGTCTCTTGCTGCATGTTTAACTATGAGGTTCTTGACTTTGTAACTCCCTCAATTTTCCCCAGTATAGATGAGGGGGTGGTGGGGAAGAAGCACAGGGAGGATATTTCCATTCTCAGTTGGTTGCTGTACTCCAGACATCCCTAATTTGGGTGCAGTCAGTCAAAGGTCTCATCGTCTGTGCTGACTAAATATTTGGCCAGGAGAGAATCTAGTCCCATACATTCCAGGTTAGGATTTAAATACAGTGTCCTGATTGCTGGTCATTAAATAGCATTGGGGATTGGGAAATAGTATCCGTTCTGGTGCCATTGTTAATTTCAGGTCATCTTATTGTATTCTTTCGCAGGCAACGCTGGTTTTCAGGTTGTTGGGGAAAGGGGGGCAAAGGACATAGGGTGAAAGTTTAATATGAGAGAATTTGTTGAACTTTTTATATAATTTCAGATGGCTCGTCAGCTTGTGCAAGCTCCAGGGGGTACAGATAGTGAATATACTGGATCAGCTTCTATTCCTAGCCAGAACAGACACTGGAGGAGCACAGGTGGTGTCCGGAGCTTCCTTTAGCAACTGCTGATACGCGAGCTCTGACACGAACTATGCCTCAAAGAAGAGTTTTGGACTTTCTTCTTTATATAATAAAATGTCAGTTGCTGCTACAATTGGGATGACTTTGAAAGACACGATTCCTTGGTCTGGCCTCTCAACAAGTTCATGTTCTGCGATTTTTGTGAGGAATGCACCTTGAAAAACAATCCTTTCAAAGTGGAAATGGGCAGCCGAAATCAGCAGCTTCCAAAAGCGTTAGAATGGAAGAACCTTTTTTGCACTCTTTTCTTAATATTAAGGACGTTCTTAAAACTAGTTAACACGTCAGTGTATTAGTTTTTAAACTTCAAGGTATTTTCTGGAGCTTTTACTGAAATAATAAGAATAAAGTTTCGTTATTTTGCAGTATTTGTTCATTAGTTTAAAAATTGTCACCTTTTAAGAGTTGGTCCCATATAAATGTATCTTCTGTCAGGGAGTTTTAAATTCCAGATTTTTCTTTTGTCTCTTTTTTTTTTTTGTTACTTGGTATTTTGAAATCTGTTTTCCTATGTGTGTGTACTCTGTGCCTTCAGCTTGTGCACTTTGCAACTTTATAGACCATATTTTGTTACTGCAAAATGTGTTCTTGAGGAAAAACTTGATGTGAACAAACATGCTGCAAAGTTGCACTTTTCTCTTGCATTAATGGGAGGTGAATTTAAGAAGGAAGAAAAGTTGAACCTATCACCATCACTAATAGAGACTTGGAAGTTTGTCCCCTTTTATTTTTCATATGTATTAGTGTTTAATGCTGGGACCAACTCTTGTAGAACCTCTCTCATTAACTTTTCATTGGCTTCCATAATTGCAATAGATTGAGATGTGAATTCCAGACTGAATGAAATATTAAGATGTGTTTTATGCTGTGCTATGTAGAAACATTGTGGGCAAAACTCTCCAGCCTAGTAGGTCTGCAAAGTGCATCTCCGTCAGCGCAAACCAGATTTGCACCTAACTGAGCAGCGAATGATGGTACCTGTCCAAGCTCCTGTGCCATTTCTCCTGTTTCGGGGATGTGATGGGGGCATGATAGTGGATGTTGTCAGAATCAGGGAGTTGAGGAGTGGTGTAATGCATGCATGTGTACACATCAGCCTCCTGTTTCCAGTATGTGTAAACTCAGCTGGAGATCCAGCTGTGCCCAGTTCCAGGAGATCTGGACCTATGGTCTGAATCCTAATGATTGACGTGGGTTTTAATCAGTAGTATGGGTAATGCAATTCTTTCGTGAGGGGAGAAACATACTTGAAAAAGCAGTTTGACTACAGGTTTTTTTATTATTACTATGGATTTGTTTTTTATCACCTTTAGTTATGAAGAGAAATGAGTTGGTAATATAAAACCTTTCTGAAGTGAAACAAAAGTTTGTTCAGTTTTGTCTTGCGCAACTCTTATGCCTGTTTAAAAAAAACAACACACAAAAAAGCAAACACAACCCCCATTATGCTTGCACGAGTTCATTACAAAATGCAGGAAAAAGATAAAAAATAGATGCGGCAGGGACAAAGTTTCTTTTTCTTTTTGTTTTATAGCCAGACTTCATGTAAATGAATTTGATTCTATCAGTTTCACATCAGCCACTTTGGCAATGCTGTTCGTGTGGAGGGTGGGGGGAGGAAGAATGAGGAGGGCACTGCTGTGATTGACAGATTCAAATCTGATTTACCTATATATTTCTTTGCATATTCGCAAAGCCTATTTAATTTTGAGGAAGTTTTTCTTTAAAAATAAATGCTTCAGTGTTTTGTTTTCTATGTAGAACAATGCCAGCAGTCTAATCTCATCTCCAATAGTGGAAAACCAAACCACGAAGTAGGGATTTTCAAGTGTTGATAGTGTTTGCTTTGACTTTGCTACCAGCTACTTAAGTTGAAGCAGAATTAGACAAAACCAGGAATTTTGAAAATTTTGCTGAAGTACGCAATGGAGAAGTTAACCAAGGCTAATAGGGAACAAAAATGATTTGCCAGCTTCCAGATTTTTATTCGTTTTGGCTTTAAACAAAAATAAAACCTCTGATAGTGTCCTTAGCTTTAAAGATCACTGTTTGCTGAAATGACAATATTCTTGAGTTAAGAATAGATGCATTAACCTAATTTGGTTAAAATTTGTTTACAACTTCGTTACCATTCTAGTTCACATAATGCAGTAATCAAGCTCTGTCATCTTGTCAAGTGATCACAATGTTTTTCTGTTTTTAAAGTGGTTTTACTGGTTCAAGTTTGTAAATAACATGTAGTCCTTTTGCCTCATGTTTGAGGCAAGGGTTCAGCGTTCATTTTACGTTGCATTATGTTTGGGACACAAACTTCTAAAACAATAATTCCATCAAAAGATAAAGCATTCCTGTCAGTGTGGTTCACTTTGTATCCACTGGGTAGTGCTTGGATGCTCCTCAGTCCTGTGTAGCATTCTCACTTGGCCACCATAGCTGAGAAATCTGTTTGTTAAGCACTGTATTATGTTGTAAATTTGGCATTAAAATTCCTGTATGTTTTGGCATTATTAACATAATGCTGAAATATTGTTTATCTGTCAAAGGCGTTATCATTGTGACTGAGCATGAAACAGAATACAGCATACTATACTAAATTATTTTGTTTCTCTGTAAACTTGCATTTTACTTACAGTAAAACTAACTCAGCCAACTTGAGCATTGGTACTGTAAAGCCACAATTACCAACAGCATGATCCTAACTGCAGTATTTAATTTAACCAAATAACTTGTGGTAAATCCGTTGCATCTGTAGCTTACTCTGTTAAGATTAAGCAGTAAAGTTGGTTATACAATGGGTGTCCTCTTTATGTTGCACTGGTTCTATAGCCAAACTTGCTACATTAAAATATTTTTAGATTAATTTCATTTCTTGATTTGGGAAGTTGAAATATTTATATTCGTTCTGCTGACTACTGTAATAGGCAGTTGTCAATATATGGTCAAGATGGTCTTTGATACAAATGATGAAGGGGGGGGTCTAACTAGCTAAGTGCCCAACTCTTCTACAGTTGGATCTCCTTGATGCCTTTCTGCAGTTGTTGAGGAAGTAGTTGTGGATGAATACTGTGAAGCACAAGTTTTTGACTCCTGTCGTTTGATAGAAATATGATCAGCCAGATTCATCCCTTTTCATTTTTCTCTAATACGATTGCTTACTTTCTACAGGTTTAAAAAAAAACCATAGAAACCTACCACAAAGGCCATGAAAAATGTTTTCCATGTAAAGGAGCTAGTAAAACGACTATTCTGTAGAACTGCAGAATAAAAACCAGCTTCTTGAATTTGACTCCTGTCTCCAACCCAGCTCCAGTTGAGAGAAAACAAAGATGTTTTGATGACTTGAGATGCACCAGATACCCAGAGGGCACTTAGTTCAGCTCACAATGTGCAAGTTATGGTACCTTCAGGATCAATATAGTTCTTGACCACAATGAGAAGGTCCTGCTAGGGAGGAATGGTCACCGCTTGGGTTGGTGTATTTCCCTTTCTGCTCTGCTGGGACTGCGTGATAACATGGGGATAGTTAAAGATAGTTAAAGCCACTCTAGTTAAAGATTCCTTTTTTTGAGGGATGTCTTGTGTTGACTGCTCATTTAACTCTTGAGGTTGCTTTTCACAGCTGAATACTGTAAATAAGTCTGTTAATGATAGTATATGCTTTCATCAGTGGTGTTTGCTGCTCTGAAGAGTTCCTTCACTGTTCTTAGAGCACCTCCACTAGAAGCCTTTAAATGCCCATTAACGATGACTGCATCGTTGTGGAGGTGTTTGCTTGGTGTAATGCTGAGCTGCAGACTGTGCTCCCAACATTGTCACTCGGCAGGAAAAATCTAGATGGTCAGGCTTTGTGTGTCCCCCTTTCTCTGACCTGGGGGACTGCAGTAACAGATACCCGTGCCTCGCTGGTATGAGGTGCAGCCTTCTCCGTGCTGCTCCTTTGGCAGGGGAGGCTGGAGCCCTGCAGTGCTGTTGGCTTTGCCGGGCTGATGCATGCAGGTCCTGTCAGCGCTGCAGCACGTTCTCAGCACGGAGTCTGGCCTCAGTCCTATTACAACTTTTGTGAAAGAAAATGGAGGTCTCAGTCCTATTCAATCTTTTATTTCTAGATAAGATAGGGGAGAATTCGCAGGTAGAGTCTGATCTTTCCTTCTGGAGCTTTCTTGGGAAATATTCTCTGGCTGGTCGAGGACAGGGATCTTTCCTCCAAGGAAGGAGGCACTGAGTCATCCATTTCTGATTTTTGTCTGCTGGTCTCCAAGGCAATGTGATGCAAGACAATCATATTGAGTGCACTATGCTTATAGCACGTAATTCTGGATTTAGTCTAGGATAAACAGTGATCTTTTTGGTAGGCTTACAAACTAAGGTAGTGGTAATCACAGAAGGTGTGAACCAGGGAGGGGCTTACTCTGGCAGGTGTCATTCTAGCAATTACAGGACAGAAGTTATTTTGTCCCAGAGGACATCATTACTTTTTATACCATAAATTGGTGTGATATTGGCCCAACAAGATATTTTTATACCCGTGGCGTGTGTTAGCAGAAAAAGGTCGGAGAATGTAAATTTAATCTTTATCAGTACTTAAATACCCTGGCTTTGAGTGGGGAGCAGAATCACGTGCGAGGGGGAAGCCTTACCTTCTGTCAGGAGGCACAGATCATCAGTGGTACTGCATTAGCAAAACAGGCACGCTTGCTGATTTGGCCTCAGTTGAAAGCTCCCTGACAAAGAGCTTTGTACTTTGCTAGAGGGAGTGGAAGGATTAAACCCGTACATCTTGACCTAACTTGAATGACTGGTTTAAGGGGGTTCCAAAATTTCATGGGCAATGAGTACTCAGAAATCCCTTCTGGCTGTGTCTGTCCCTGGGATGCTCAGATACGCTTTGGTTAATGTTCCTCTTTCTGAGCTTCTGCTAAGTGATCTAATTAGCACAGAACAGGAAAGTTGACTCCCCTAATGATGACAACAGAATGAAGCACTTATTGCCTCTTCAGTATTGTTTTTCAACTAATCATTCCTTAAGAAAAACCCGTTTCCGAGATGACCTGGGTTATCACCAGTTTCTGTTAGCAGGCAGTAGGGAATTTGTTAGCACCATTGGCCATTTATCAGCAAATTGAATGTTTTTGTACAGAGAACAGTTCATAAATTAATCTCGGGATGGTGGGTAGATGTTACCCTTTGGACGAGGTGCGTTGTCAGGATAAGGGCAGCTGTTCAGAGTACAAGATAGGTGGAGGTCTGAATGTACTGCCGAAGAGCTGAGCTGGTGCACCCACCTCGGTTCATGCTGCCGTCCCATGGAAGTACGGAGCGACTGTGCGCTGAGTTGCACTGCGAGCTCACCCCCAAAAAGAGTCCA